GTATATATATATATATATATATATATATATATATATATTATTATATATACATATTATTTTTTTTATCTACCCTCCACTTTTCTGAGGCGCCCACTCTGATCAATTGTAAGGACCGGTCTTCTGTTCATAGTATTCAGGCAGTGTTTTATCATCACCAATGGCGCCAATAAATGGTTTGTAACATGACAATAGTTCCTGTCTAAATGGGAAAATTTTATGTTTGATAAAGTTGGAAGCATTTTAACGATGCCTTCAAGGACAACGCCACGTCCAAGCTGTTGAGGTGAACAGGTTACTGTTTATTATTTTCTTGATTGGTCTTTTTGATGACCTTCCTCGGCCGTTAATCTACCACAGCCTTCACTCTCTTTCTTCATCACTGCTGCTGCTGCTGCTGTGTCTCCTGTACTTGTCAGGCTGTAGTTTCAGGTTGAGCAGTTTTAACACCCAGCCGTGGATCATATTTAGTTTAATTACCTCTGTGTGAATCGGGGCTGCATTAGGAATCGTGACCTGATGCATATTCAATAAATTGACTGAAAACAGCAAATGGAAACGGCCGCCCCGTGACGCGTATTCATCTGTGAATTGATGCTTTGCGCACGAATGAACACGGAATTCTGTGTTGATATTGGGTTATCACAGTATGAATTTTCTATGCATTCTGAATGATGCGTTCCATACCTTATTGGAATGGCATCAGATTAGATGCGGTTGGAAATTTAAATCTGCATGTGCGCAGGTTTGCTGAATCCTTGATGAATTTCCTTTGAGGCTTCTGTCACGTACATCGTCGGATTTGAAATGCACGCTCCTGATGCAGCAAACGGAAGAGGGAGGTGATGATGATAAACATCAAGTTTGTCTTTCTTTTTTTTAATGTGAAGGACAACAAGATTTTTTGTTGGAAAGGAAACATTATATTATGGTCTGCCTCCCCACTGACACTAACACACAATTTATGTTTTTAATATTGTTGCAAGATTTCCATATCGACCGCACCATCTGTTACCTGAGAGCTGTTACCTGACGTGTTGTTTAGAACCAGGAGGAGATGAATGGAGGTTGAACACTGACCTAGAGAGGGAAGTGGCTGCTGTGTCCCCTGCATGTTTTCTTTATTTACTCTTTGCTGATGTTTACCAGAGGCTAAGAGATTGAAGCAGCGACATCGGGGAGTGACTTTTATTACCCGGGGGCCCTTTGTATGCCTGGCTGTCCACGGTGAAAAATCTTTCTATTGATTGTCTCGGAGCAGGGAAGGAGAGAAACATGCACAACCGTTGAAAAGACACGGCTGTGTTCCACGGCTCCACGGAGAGACTCTTGTGCTTTAAGCTGATTGTTAACAGTGCAGGAAACAGCCTAACAATAAGAGGGTGTTTTTTTTTTTTTTCCTCCACTTTTCTCCTCAGTTTTGTCACTGACCTACTTTGTGCGTCCTTTTACAGCTGCGTGTCCAGTGTAAGGACAAAACAGAGCTTGGGTTTTGCATCCCAGTCCACGGTGTGTTGTTTGCTTGGCGCTCCCTCCGTAAATTCACTTCACTTGGGCGCACGGTGTGCACATTTATTGGCCTGTGCTGCATTACAGAAAATTAACTGACTGAATAACTTAAGCTCTCGCTGTGCTAATTAAAACAGCATGCACTCAGTGCTGCTGCGGCCAGGACTATAATTAATTTCTGAATGGATGCTTTTTGGACACGAGGATGCTCTAAGAACCAGCAATGTCAAAGCATCCTGCAAAGTCTGGCTGCGGCCCTATCCTTAAATATGATCAAGTCATGTTGAGCAGAACATAAATTATTTCCCGTCTCAGACTGAATTAAACTCTCTCTTTATTGCCCTTGTGCTTAAGGACAGTCATGGACAGATGTCACAAGGAAAGAAAAAATAATTCAATAAAACAACGTGTCATTTAAGAGCCTGTAAAACACATTACCCATTGTCTGACAGTTGTAGTTAATTAATGGAGATCCTATATCAAATTTCTCTGTAATATGATGAGGAGAGAAGACGTTGCCAAGCGGTCCCTGCCAGCAGTTCTATTATCAGTCAATAATGAATTAAGATGATCAATTCAATGCCAACCAAGTGACCTCACTCACTTAATGCATTACAGCCAATTCTGGTCGGGGTTAACCCTGAAAGGCCTTCAAACCCAAGACCATTTTAAGGATTTTTTTTTTTTAATATTCAAGGAGTTGTTGATGTTGTTGATAATTGATGATTGACTTGCCAATGATTGTTGTCAGACAATAACAATGTCGGTCAAAATTGCCAAGTTCTGTCTCAGGGGAAGGCCAGTTGTAAAAATACTGAACATAAACTCTAGAGCAGGAGGTCACCGTCTATATTTGTCGTAGGGCCAGAATCTTTCTCGACAGACACCTTGAGGGCAAAACACTCAAATATAAAATGGAATAACAATTACATTTTATGTCTAACAATATTATTTGATGTTTATTGTTTGAATGGATGGTCCAGTTGGCTACATTCGGCCCGTGGGCCACCAGTTTGTGATCACTACTCTAGAGTTTTAAAATTCTGGTAAAGAACGTGTGTTCTTGGCACTGTGTTTATCATTAACTTTGTCCTTGTTTGGTCAAACCTTATATTGACCCCCAGTATACTAAAGGTCTCTTTTCATTGTTATCAAATGAACCTTAGTGTGTGCAGTTTGCCTTGGCTCCTTGCTGAAAACATAAACCCACATATATTTACACTGTGCTGAAATTGCTTTCACCCTGTCTGCCCAGTAAAACATGA